AGCTGCGCATTTCAGTTTGACCTCATGGCATTTTAAAAAAAGTACTTGCTGCCATGGATAGGCCAAACGACTTACAAGAGGCTTTAATCTGTGACTTTAGTATAACGTTGTTTCAGGAAATTCAATGGACTGTGGGCATCATTTCGGAAGTGCTTCGTTGCATTGTCCCCCCCCCCTTATTTTAAGAATTGATGGGCAACTGTCATCCGGGTATTGTTTCTTCAGTGGTGAAACATTGCGTCATCGTGAGTAAGAAATATCCTGCACACAGTTCACTTGCTAATTTTTCGAAAATGGAGGGTGCCGTGAAACGAAATGATCAAGACTACGTTTTTGAAACTGTGCATGCACTCCTTCAATTTCCTTAAGTTAATTAATGCACTACTGCATGACATATCATGTAGCTGTGGCCTGACATTCGAACTCATTTACCAATCGAATTTGAGGATCTCGGCACACTTTCCGGAAAAAGATAAACATTACGAAAGTTGATATTTTACTCACTTCTTTGCTGAGCACTCCAATGCATGACTCATGCCATAGCTGTCGAGGTATGTGTTGAGGCCTGAAATTGCTATCGCCTGAAACAGCTGTCCCCGTCACTAGTTTAACTGGGCTAAATGACGTCCGGGAGAGCGGCTTTTCACCTCTGTCGACCACCGTCCGCACTCTAATTCAGTCAAATCTTTTTTAATCGTTTGAAGCCCTATACTGCCGGTCCGGAGAAGAGATGTTAAACGTTACTTCTGACAGTATCCCATCAGGTGCTAATTTATTCATCACTTTTTCGGTGCCATTTAACTGAGGGTGGCATTCATTGTAACGGACGTAATATTGTCTGGTGGACGCCTCAGCATTTATCGTGGTCAGCGCAACAGCGTTCTTTCAGAGCGATGGATATGTTTCAATAAATTATGTCCGCCACGTGGTTCGCAAACACTGCAGATCGAAGGATTCTAGTTTCCTCACTTCTTCAAAGCATAGAGCCCAGCTACCTCATTCGTAAGGGATGTTGGAGCGAATAACGGTTTGCAGAACTTCGCATGTTGTCTTCAGATTGATCTTCCGTCGTTTAGACCCACAACGGCTTAAAAAGTTGGAGGAAAGCCCCCTTGGCTGCTTCTGCCACGTGAGCCCCAATTGTCCATGGGGAAGGATAGAGGAGTTCAGTCACTTGAAGGCGGTGACTTGTTGCAAAACGAGGAGTAGATCATTTAGTAGTCTTTTCGAAAATTGGGGTTCCAAGATTAGTGCAGCCCTTTTGAACAGTTGCACTGATTGATAGACAGATGGATCAGAGTGATCGAAGCAGTATTTTATTATACTCGCAGAATGACAAGTTCCATTGTTTGGAATGCATCGATTAGTTATGATGCGAAGATGAGGTTAATTTTAATCAGTGTAGCCTGAAGGGAAAGAGCAGCAAATATTGGAGACATTTCATTCATTTTCCTCAATAGTCTCCATTATTGGAAAATTTTTCATTTATGTTTTTTTCATTAAAAGACAGCACAAAACACGGTATGTTAACACTAATATTGATAATTTATTAACAAAAATAATGTGATAAGGTTGTTTCTTTCATGTAGCAGGTTGGTAAAGTTTTGGAGAATTACTAGAAAAGTTGTCCATAGGGGTTACTGGGTGTCTGTAATCAGAAGCCATTGCCTTGTGAGACACGAGCCGAAACGTTGGCATTGGTCAGATGTCCGATAGACCATATTTTTGCGTTGTGTATTAATAAACCATGTTTTGTGCTGTTTTTCAACTAGTGCATCGGCACATTTCTCTAGGTGCTTTCATGATAGTAAACAATGAGTTTATTTAACCAAATTTCATGCAGTATGTCGACTAGTTCTGTCATAGTTTTTAACCAGAGCGAACTTTAGTCACCTGCCAAAAGGTAGGTTCTATTTGCAACGTCATATGTTATTCCTTCATTCCTTTCGAGTGGCGGAGCAGCTGCTTCCGGACCTCTGGTAGGCTTCTGATCCGCTGTCGAACTAAGGACCTTCGTCTGTCTGTCATGTGGTGAGTTGACCTTCCTTCAGTAAACTAGTTTTGTACAAGAATACAAACCTTGACAGCCACAAACGCAATTCTTTGCTCTGAGCGATGACTACATGGATGCAAAGGTCG